GAAGCGATAGATTTAGTTATCATATAAATTTTTTTTTTCTTGAGAAATACATATACTAAAATTTTTTTCATTTGCGTTCACTGCTCATACAATATAGTATGTTTTTTTAATTTTCTCCATGATAATTTATTAATCTAGCGATTCTCAGGGATTGGTTAATGGGTTTATCCTAGGCGACAAGGGTCTGTCATGCAGAACAAGAATCCATCATGTGTGATCAGAACCCGCTTTGGACGACAAAAACTCAGCGTGGGCGACCAGAACCCACCTTGGGCGTACCCAAAATGCACCACTTTCAGTAGTTTTTTTGCACATACATAACCTTTTGACCCCATGTCAAGGGGGAAAGTGCGGGCATCTGAGCACCTAAAAATGATGGTAGGTGCTGGCTGTGTGCTGAGGTACTGACGGTATTTAATCCGCACTTTTCCCTTGACCCATGCAGACAGACACACAAACTATTCTTTTTCATATCACCCTCTCTATAGTTGAGGGAACTATATACGTGAATCACTTTAATAAGTAAAAGTAATAGTTGAGATGTTGATAACGCTTTTCATATCATAAATAGTAGTTGTATCCTGTTTTTTTTTCTATATTATAGACAGGGTATTTTTCCCGACGTATCTAATCGACGCACAAATGGTATTGCTCTCGCAGACTCTATCATCGATGAGCACCTAAGGGTATTAAGTACAAGTGCACAACAACAAACTACTGCAACATCTGCAACTAGCTGTGAAGACTTCACAAATAATTATGACGGGTACGACCTATTCCCTTTATACGACGAAATGGGAGCGAAGCTTTACGACGCTGTAGATTCCCTTCAATCAACCTATAATGAAAAAAATAAATGTACCAATAGTGTAAGTAATATAGTCGTATAGAAATAGCTTCTAAAGACAGACATAACTTTTTGGCGAAGCTATACAGAACGCAATTTTAGTATATGTATTCCTCAAGAAAAAAAAATTTATATGATAACTACATCTATCGCTTCTCTGGTCTGTCGTTGGGTTTGGTGGGAAATGCCTAGAAGTAAAATGTCAAATATGAAAACGTCGGAAAAAAGAAGAAGAAAATATCCTTATATGGAAGTTTTCTTTTTCTTTTTTTCGACGTTCTCCTATTCGACATTTTACTTTTCGGCGTTTTCCACCAAACCCTCCCACAATAGCAGCGAAAATCAATGATCTTTTATAGCTAGACGATTTACAATGAAGCTTTTATTTAACTTAATTTATTATTGTTGGTAAATTAACCGATCGAAAATAGTACACTGAAAGATCAATCCAGAAGACCATTCTTTCTAGCATCAAAAGCTTAGATTTTGCATTATCGTTTGAAAAGCTGTACTCAGCTGTGGAATGCAATTGTCATGAAGCAATTGTGACGATTTCTGTTGGAAGAGATTGTATGTAGTTGACGTGTCTTTTATTTAATCCAAAGAAATCGCCTTGACACTATATTTTCCTCATCCTTTTATAGTTCTCGGTAAATACAGTATGGCGTTACAGAAAACATCAAGCTTTATAGGCAATATCTAAATTCCAGTTTTATGTCACATTGGGAATAAAGATAAAAGTATAATATCAATGTCTAACTTAGGGGCGGCACTTTAACTTTACTTTCAAAATTAAAGTTAAAGTAAAATACTTTAACTTTAATTAAAGTACAGTGAAAAATCGAAAATAGTTTTTAGCTTGCCCTGTTTAATTTTGTGATTTCTGACAAAAATTTTCAACTTTCAACTTTAACTTTAATAAAGTTTAAAGTTACTTTAACTTTAATTAAAGAAATTTTAAAGTTGTAATTATTATCCAAAACCGCATAAAATTAAACAGGGCAGGCTAAAAATATTTTCGATTTTTTATTNAGTGTCACCTGGCTCTGAAGATTTGTCGTTAGCATGTTACCTAACGTGGTACCGAGGCCAAATAGTCCTACACCAATCGACACCAAAGCGAGTGCCCCAGGATGACGTTTACTTCTTCTCCTACCTGTAACATTGCATGTAGGAATATTAACGGCAGCGGTCAACGGTAAAAAGTAACACGTTTCAGCAGTCATTGGAAAAATTGCCGAATTATATGTGACGATTTCTGATGGAAGAGATTATATGTAGTTGATGTGTCTTTTATTTAATCCAAAGAAATCGCGCTGATACTGTATTTTCCTCGTCCTTTTATAGTTCTCGGTAAATACAGTATCGCGTTACAGAAAACATCAAGCTTTATAGGTAATATCTAAAATCTAGTTTGATGTCACACTGGGAATAAAGATAAAAGTATAATATCCAGGTCTAACTAGAAGTAAACACAAAAATATAATATCAATGTCTAACTAGAGATAAACATAAAAGTATAGTATCGATGTCACACTAGAGGTAGAGACAGATGTATCAACAACATCTCTCTATTAAGTACATCGGCTAAGAGGCTAATATTTGGGCGCAAGCAGGAAGAAAGAAATGAGATAATCGTTGTATATAGAAAGAGGAAGAAGAGGGAAGGAGAGAGAAAAAGGAAGAAGATGAAGAGAGAATCGGAGAAGAGGGAAGAAACGTATACCAAGGTCGTCATCAGTGCCTAAGGAAAAAGAAATGTACAATCATAGATTGTCACAGCAATTTTAAGTGTGTTTATGCAATGAAATTCTGTATTTACATATGTTTAATGCGATCGAATAAATATTTCTGCAAAATATTTCCTTTTATAGGCATTCAATGTACGATTAGAGGTGTAAGCCGATCGGTTAAGTCGCTGCAGTCGCCAATTTTCCTTTCAAAAACATAGGCGCCGCCGCCAATAAACTCATAGGCTTACACCTCTATGTACGATGAAATAAAACGAAATAACATAATCTTTGTTTATTTTAAACGTTTCTAAAAATACAATTACAAGTAAAAACAAGAGTTTCTCTTCTCCTTTTCTAAAATGTATCAACTAACGATAATAAAATTTGTGTATAATTATTTCAATTAATTTAAGGTAGATGTTTATTTGCTTCTGAATTCAATCGATTAAAATTCGGCATCGTTTATAGGACTTATAATATTCAGGAGAAGAGTACTTATAAATAATTTCTTACAAGTAGTTATGATCTATGCAAGTTCTGTAATCTGTGATACATCCTGATAGTAATCGGATGAATTGTTGAATTCAAATTCTGTTTATTGTTCTATTTAAGTGATTTTTAGTAGAAAATTCTTTGAAATGACTTTTTGCTTCCTGTCATTTAAACTTTTTTCTTTAGTCGAAACAAAAAATTATACAAGACATTGCAATGCTTCAATAATTAACTGTACTGCAATTTTTTGTTAGACACACCCATTCATGAATAAAACCCAACCTAATATTACTTTATTAAAATTTCCTAATAAAATTCTGCAATATATCATCATGTATCTGATTTCACTGCTTAAGATATAGTTTTCCCATATTGATTTATTTCATATCTGCTCACTATATTTAATTATTTTTGTTATAAAGTTGTTTCCAACAATCTATCGTATATAATATATCTCACTTGAGCTAATCTCGAGATCTATTTAGACTATTTCATCGACAGTCACGTACGAGGCACACGCAGCCACTATGAATAAGCAAAGTTATTCGAAGAAAAAACGGTCATATTGTGGAGCAATACACGGTCGTAGCACACTATTTGTCTCAGGATTAAAAAACACTGTGAATAAAGAAGATATACGTAAACAATTCCCAGGATGTTCAGATGTAACATTTAAGCGATATCGCAAAACATCACATCTTAAGTATGATATATACGTTCTCTTCTCTAACAATTATATCAAAGCTTTTTCATTAGATATGCTTTTATCACGCATTGTACACCTCAAGCAGCTGAAATAAACCGTCAACGATCTATTAGTGTCCATCTTTTTGGCTCACAACATCGTATTGAGTATGCTGGTAATAATGCATTAGTTCTTAATAGTAACCAGAACGGCGATCGCAAAAAAGTTGTCATTGAACAAATTCCCCCAGGCGTCAGTGATCATGCTCTTCAAAGCTTGTTTCCCGGTTGTCAAATAATAGAATATCATCCAGCAGTTGGTATATTTAACACAACATCGATTAACAATAGCGATATTTTACCAGGGTAACAGCAAAATGTAGCAACATAGTTTTAGTTTCAACAATGATAAACCACTATTGCCTTACTATCAGTTAGCCCTTTCCGGCCGGATGTTGCCAAAAGGCAACAATTTTGCCGTAGGGGGGGGGTATGGCATTCTCCAAAAATTCGAGGCTGAAAAATTGCTCCTTATAACTACACTAACAAGAATATATATAAAGAAAATCTTTTGCTTGCTGTTTTCTGGTAGCCGGCCGGAAACGGTTAAAAAAATGTGACTGCTGATGTTCACGATGCCCTCACCTATATTCACGCCCTTCTTATGAAATATCAGTATGCCAGAAAAACAGTAATTAGTTTGGCTAGAAGTTTTTAAAAAATAATAAAACTGCCGCTTTACCTTTAAGCAGGATTACTAGGCGAAATTTCTTCGTTCACTTTCTTAACTCTTCGGCTTCCGACTTTGTTTGAGAGAATCAAAGTTTTTAAAAAGTAATCCTTAAATATCGTTTTTATTTTTTTTACAAAGAAACTTCATTTCGGTTCTGAAAAAAATTAATATTAACTTGGCTAAAAAATCCGCATCACTTGTAGGCATGCAACAATCCCGATTCAATTCGATTCCGATTCTAGAATCGAATGGGATTGTTGGAATTGGAATTGGAATCGAATGGAATTGATTGGGATTGGGATTAGAATCGAACAGAATTGGTTGGAAATGGGATTGGAATTAGAATAGAATGGAATTGGCTGGAATTGAACCGAGATAGACTGAAATAGATTATTAATTTTAACTCAGACTAATACTAGTTTCAGACAGTCTTCGTTAATGCCAAACAAATTTCCAGCAACAAGAAGCATTTAGAATTATTTTCCTGTTAGATCTCACATAGTTCTTAACTATACTGAAAAAAAAAAAAGGTATTCTACCAAACCCATCGGAAAAGTTTCGTAAATGCTCAAAGCTTCCAAATGTGTCGACATCTTGAAAACAGTGGTTTTCAAAAATCTGCGAAACCAAAAAAGGATCGGTCGGCGGGCACACGCTCCGAACCCTCACCACGGAACCTTTTTGGTTTCGCAGACTTTTGAAAAGCATTTTTTTCAAAATGTCGACACATTTGGAAGCTTTGAGCATCTACGAAACTTTTTCGATGGATTTGGTAGAACACCTTATTTTTTTTCAGTGTATGTCACGTTAGTTTCAAATCACATCCAGTCAATCCCAGCCGGTTCCAACCAATTCCAATTCCAATTCCAAACAATCCCATTCGATTCCGATTCCAATTATGGGCCGATTCCATTCGATTCCAGTCCCAATCCCAACCAATTCCATTCGATTCCAATTCCAATTCCGACCAATTCCATTCGATTCCGATCCCAATTCCAACCAATCCCATTCGATTCCGATTCTAGAATCGGGATTGGTGCATGCCTACAAATTATGTTTTCAACACTTTTTCACCAGTTATCATTTCCATTAAGAACACAGCAAATACTTTTATGAATCTCAGTTCTATGGAACTGTTTTATTGCTCCTTTTATCACAAGTTGCATAACAAGTAGCGTTCGTCGTGCCGACTCACTTCACCCTCGACTGTGGAAGACAGATATACTGTCTGCGTGTGCTATTAATGAGGCGAATCAATCTAGCAACTTCACGTACGATGAAACGGTAAAACCTTTTCTGTTCNGACATCGTCAGGGTACCACAAACTGTACTATCTTCTTTATTGTTAGCATCGAATAATTTTGTTGAAAATTGCATTTTTGTTTTAATTTTGTCTTTAATCTTGCTCATAGTGAAGGTAAAATGCTCAAAATAAAGAAGATGGTATAGTTTGTGGTATCCTGACGATGTCATCCGAGATGACGAAACGTCGAAAATCGAGAAAAATCAAATTTTTGTCTTTCTTCACTTAAAAATTGAATTAATTTGTTGAAAAACTTTTACATTCACAGTACATCCCATACTATATTACGAAAATATTCTCAGTTCTTCAAGCCGTACGAAAATAATTTCTGACGAAATCAAAGGGACATTGACCCTAATAGTAATGAAAATTTCGTTTTTTTAGACTTTTCCCTCCGACTGAAACGAAATTCATGGTGCAATAAAAATTGTTCAGTCAGAAGCCTTGACTAATAAAATGGGATACTGAGCTTGAAGGTGAAAAGATTGTGGAGCAGCGAGTCGTGAGTAGCGCCTCACAGGGGCACTGACGAGCGACGAGCTGCTCCCAGTGATGTCTTCTCATATACTAATGAGACAAAATCAAGCAAATTTGTTTTTGATGTTTATAAGCAATCTTATCTTATTTTACAGCATTGATCGTTTTATTGAAAATAGGAAGGCGTGGTTGGATATGGTAAAGTCATGATAATCACGCTTACAAGGTTCTCATTCCGCTTGAACAGTGGGTTTCATTTAGAAGAATCCGATAAATGAGAAGAACGATAATAGTGCTCAAATTTGTTTTTAATACTGTGAGGTGGACGAGAACCATTCTCGAAAAATCATTTCTTAGGACATATTTCAGTCTTTTTGTGTGGAAAATGTCCATACAGATTATTGTATGTTGAGCTACTACGTAATTCAGTGAAGGATTAAGCGAGTCAATCTCGACGAACGTTATTTAACGATAGAGAGATAGGGTCTAAAATGGTGATAAACAACTAATGAATATAGTCTATATATAGTAGTCGAAGAACCCCATAAAAAATATTCATAATACACAGTTGTGTAGAGTTTGTGACGGGATACACGCTCATATATTTTACATGTTCAACATAACTGCATATTAAAAATATTTTTTATGGCGTCCTTCGACTACTATACGTATAGGGACTATACTGATTAGTTGTTTATCACTACTGTAGATCCTATCTCTCTACCCATAAATAGGTCAGAAATGCTTGAAAAATTTTTTAGGAAATAGCCTTATTATACGTCATTTGAGGTGGTATATTTGATTTCTCAATGCTGAATATATGATCTTATCCACCTAGGTTTTTTTTGCAAGTGACCGCGAATTTTTTGGTCAGCTCAGTAGTTTCTCTTTGTATGATAGTCCTTGAAGTGATCCACAATGCATGTAATGATACATCAAAGTCAAGACACATTTTTTGTGCAACGTGTCGAAGATTATGAGATGATAGAAAATACGGATGGAATGTGTACGCGTAATAGTTTCAACAGAAAGAAAAGAAAAAGAAACATATCACTATGGCACCCTCTGACAAACGAAAAAGAAGTGCTTATAAACGGTCTAGTCGTGCATTTACCCTCGTAGTACTGGACTCGCTTAGGCTTGTTTTAAAACTATTCCTTCAATTCAAGGTATAGGATTTTAAGTCTAATTTTAATGAAAATCAGAATAATTAAATTCTAATTCGAATAGGTAATTTTCGCCCTCACACCCTCAAGATTACTAATACGTGAACCATGTGCTGATACTGATGATGGTCGATGTTGACCGAAAGCTCTACTATCTCTTCAAATTATAATGATATACGTTAAAAAATCGTGTATTTTTCGAATTTTCTTTCAAAATTTTCCTTTTCAATAGAAGTCTGATTTTATAAAGAGTATCCCAAAACAATGATCTCTTTTATTCTAGCGAAAATTTAAAACTGAATTTCACACGCCAGTATTCATCAAAACTATTGGGTTCACAGGGAGAGGGATCAAAAATGGCCCCGTTTGATATTAGTGGGGTTAATACGACTTTTATTCGATAAATATATTTGCCTAGATATATGTGTTGCTGAGAGCGAAAGAGTTAAATAAATATCTGAGAATTGATCAATAAGTCACTATGACAACTACCCCTTTTCAAAATAAAGTCTTGAATGCAAATTCTTTGACGCTTTTGATTATCTCAGTATGTTCGATCGAATAAGATCTGATTGCTTCAAAAACGAAAGATGACATAGCAAATGATTGTCTTATTAGTGCATAGTACATCAATTTAATTGATTCTGCTTTGTATGATATTATCATTGCAAATCACAGTGATTAAGATAATGACAAAGTGGTATTCTCTCATGAATTGCTATTTTATATTTAGGTACGCTTACATTTCCTTCGATGATGAACAACAAGCCACTTATGTCATCGAACATGCTTATCAATACCAAATTAATGGTCAACCACTAAGAGTCTCCTTATATCGTACTTAAGTATTGGGTCGGCAAGAAATTTTTTACATTTTTTTCGAAAAAATTCGTTTTTTTTAAAATTTTAAACATACAACTAGCTTTCAACAATGTATGCTCCATTACTATCTATGACTTCTTGCCCACGCTGTGGCAGAGAAAGGATCCCTCCTTCGTACAAGTCTTGGAACTTTCGGTCGAAAAAGTTGGTAAGGTCCGTTTTGAGGTCGTTCTCGTCGTCGAATTTTTTCTCGCCCAAATAACTAGTAACGCTCGTCGAGGCAGACTCGCTATACCCTCGACTGAACCACTGACTGAAAATACAATAGTCTTGTATGCATTTTATGCAAAAAAGACACAAGTATAACCTTTGAAGGGGTCCGCAGAAACTGATCTTCATTGGCCTCGCAGTCTTCAAAAGAACCAAAAGACTACTTGTGTTCCTTTTAATTATTCGATATTCCTGACTGACAATCACTGTTCACAGGAAGCAGAAGTTCGCTATAAATGACCATTATGGATTTGCACCTTACACACATCCTCCTTTTTCTAAAAGAAAGATAATTTCAGCAAGACCAAATGAGACTCGGTATAGATTTTACATTCGAACGTGTCGGATTGTTGATACTTTGGTAACTGGCTAGATTATCAGGCGCACCTCATTGTTCGTCGGCGCTCCACAGGAGCGCCACTGACAACTCGCCGCTCCAAAGCTGTCCCTATCAATCATATAATTACCCCTGTGCTACCAACAAGTAGCGCTCGCCGTGCCGACTCACTTAACCCTCGACTGTGGAGAACAGGTATTTTTTCGTGTCCGCAATGTGGCACAAATTGATCTAACAATTTTTTATACACGAAGAAACAATTCG